AGAAAGGCTAGGTATGGGGGTGCTGGAGAGACAGCTCGGGGGTTAAGAGCTCTGGCTGCTCTTCCACAGGTCCCAAGTTTGATTCCCAGCACCCACATGGTACGGTCACAGAAAGGCTAGGTATAGGGGCGCTGGAGAGACAGCTCGGGGGTTAAGAGCCCTGGCTGCTCTTCCACAGGTCCCAAGTTTGATTCCCAGCACCCACATGGTGGGTCACAACCATCTGTAACTCCGGTTCCAGGGGATCCGATGTCCTCTTTTGGCCTCCACAGGCACTAAGCATGCACACGGTATACAGACATACATATAAGCAAATCACCCACATGCATAAATTAAGTATAAAGTTATGCAAAAAGAAAGCAGGGCTGAGTGGCACTTGGAACAATGGGAAATGATACACAGTGATTGTACGGGCCTGACTTCTTTCTGAGCCGGGAAGAAGGTTACTGACTGTTGAGGTTTCCTTCAAACACCCCCTCCCAGCCACATCCCAGATAAGCAGAAAACACAGATGAAACTCCAGAACATCTTCCCTCAAATGTGCCTTTGAGAGGAGTTCCACCCTGTCCTTTATGCAAGTGGCAGAAAACTGAACCACAGAAATCAAGGGCTCAACTAGGTCAAAGATACCAGAAATGAAGCCACAGTTCTAAAGAGGCAGAGGCTGGGTTGTCCCAGCCTCCCTTGGTCACATGATGAACGGAAGCCACACAGGAGAGGGGGCTGGGCCCTGAGCCGCTCTATAGACCCAGTACCTGGGGCTCTCAGGCCTGGCCTGTCACCCTTACAATCACAGGACTTGGCAAGATTTTGAGCAAGAGTTAGGGAACAATAACAAAAACATTCCATCCTGCTCCAACACTGTTGGGAACGACTGTGTTCAAGAAACTCTGAAGGTTTCCCCCACGGTGGAGTGAAGTCACTTGGCAGCCTCTTCAGCTTCAGATCCGAGGCTTCCTTTGATATGACCACCATTGGTAATCACAGATGGGGCGGGGGAGGACTCCACTGTGCCTCAGTTTACACCAGCATAAAATTACAGCCTTAGCATCCCATTCTCATCCCAAATAAACACTCAATTAAGGAGGCAGCTTAACATAGCTAAACCATATTGCAATTCTTGCTTCAGAATGCAAACAAAAAAATGTGTTCTCAAGACAAAGTTCATGATTTGAGATCTCATTCCATGTCTCTGTCTGCTTCTCTCTCTCTCTCTCTCTCTCTCTCCTGTATCTGAAACTTCAATCTTTATGTTACTTGGTGAATCTCTCTAAATCATCCTTTAGAATTTTATATAACTTTGATGACTATAACAATGAGCCAATATAATCTTAGCATGCCCCTTTCAGACAAAACTGTCCACACATCTATTTGCAATGTGCTTTCTCTACTAGTCTGGAAGTCAACTCCTGTTGGAAATAATGTTCGCTTTCAGGTTTCTGGGATACCACTCTTTGCTTGGGAACTTCTAATTAATTATGTACTGAAACTATATTGAGACCTCAAGTTCTATATAGAAATACAGTACCACAAACAAGGAAAATGTAGATGTTTGCGTAGATTTTTAGTTTATTACTCAGAGATAAAACATAGTAATAATTCCTTATGAAACTGACCCTTTTAAACATAGAGATCAATTCTTATAGAATATGTTTTCAATTTTTTCTAACTGGGAAGGGGAATTGAGAGAAAGGGGAGGCATGGAGGATGAATATAATCAAAAAATGATATACTGGAAAGCAAGTGTCTTCACGAAACCCATTGGGTGGAAAAATATTAGATGTCAATGCATTAAATTTTTTTAGCTTTGAGCTAACTTTAATTTTTCAGAAGGTTCTGTACTTTTGCTCATTTCTCCTGAGGACGGAATCTTCCCAAAGTCTAAAACTTCATAGGCCTTAGACCTCCAGGTGTTATCATCTTATTTCTGCGCATGCATGTGAAGTGTGTGTGTGTGTGTGTGTGTGTGTGTGTGTGTGTGTGTGCAGTGCCCTGCAGTGTGTAGGCACTTGGGTGACCATGCACAATATCTTTTGAAGTAGTTTTGACTTTCGAGTTTCATCTTGACTTTTGAAAACAGCCATGTGTGTGTCTTTTCACCCGTTCCTTCTGTAATCACGGCCCCATTTCTTGACTACAGTAATTTATCCATCTCTTTGGATTTTACAGCCTCCTTCGTGAACTCACTGCTGGGGAAGAGCTTTGTGTTCACTTTGCTCTCTGTAGCACACTTCTGCTTTCCCAAGAAAAGAAACAAACATAAACCGACTTTCCTGCCCCATTCACAAGCTCTTAAAGATACCAGGGAGAATAGATGGATGCCGATTCTAAGCTGAAAACCTGCTACAGAGTGTAGCCTTTACACTTGGCTTATTAAAATATCTGGTTCTTTTTTTCAGTCCAGATTTAAACTCCAGTTATGCGCTATAGTGCCCTGTGCACAAAGAGTGGACCTCATGATAGCTTTGCCAGGCAACATTAGGCCCACATCTGCGCCTTCTGCTCGGGACACAGGCGAGTGAAGACGGTGGAAAGGCAGTGCTTCCAGGCTTACAACCTGTTTAAAAAGAGGCATTTTTCAGAAAGCCCCGTAAAGGATGACATTTCAAAGGACCTCAAAAAGCCACTCCAGCCTCTTCCAGCCCTCACGCCAGCCAGGCACAAGTCAGAAAAATGCTGCTGATCTTTAGAAGTTCAGCTCCCCCAGCAGCTCTTACTGCAGGGAATTCTGTAAGACAATCTCACTTGTGCTTCAGGTAACTCAGCTGTTCGGTCTGGTCTACTCCACAAACAAAAGCTCCACTGGGATCCTGCATTTCCGGAAGTTCCTCTCCAGGAAGACTTTTCTTTTGAGACTAGCTAGCTCCCCGGATACTGCAAACACCTCCATGAAGCAAGCTTCCAGAGGACAGGAAAAGCTGACAAGGGTTGGAAGGTGAAGGGGACACACGCATTGTCCATAGAAGCCAAAAGTGTTCAGGAAGAAAGGAAAGAAAGAAGGGAAAGTGCCATGTCGAAGATGAAAACCTGTTGAGAAACCGTGCCGAGTCAGCAGAATGGAAGACAGTATCTCCTTCAAGCATGATGAAGACAGCAAGATAAATTGTGGATGAGAAATGACTGCCTTTCCCTGTCACGGGCCGAGTGACAGCAGCCCTGAGGCCTACAGCATCTCACAAACACTCCTGGCCTCTTCTGCAACTTCTTTCAGTTAGTTGAGGATGACTGACTGGGAAGACCCCTGACACCTAGTCTAATTGAGTTTTTGAACACCCAGCCAAGGAAAGACAGGATAAACTTTAGTACAAACTACAGGCCATGTTTCTCTCCACAGTCAAGGGCAATTTAGGCTTTGTGTTGTTAGTAGAAATATATCACAATAGATACTAAAAGTGTATACACTCATTGAAATGTCTAGGGTTTCCCCCCCACACACTGAGGTAGATAATTAATGTTTCTTGGAATTGTTACAAAGAAATAACCAATTACAATTAGCAACATTTCCAGGAGATTAAACTAATTACAATTGCACTTACGCTCCTTAAGAGGAATGGGTTAAGAACAAGAACACAAAGGCTTTCCTTAACAACTGGTAATAAATTAGATCAAGGCAGATCCAGCATCAGTGTATCAAACATGGGTGCATTTCCTTGGAAAGAGTCCTCTGTGTGTTCAGACACCAGCTTACCTGACTAGCCTTTGTATTCCATTATATGAAAGTAAACATGCCTGTATCTTGCTTTCCAACTCAATGTGTTATCTGATAGTTTAATGCCTTTTTGTCCAAATAAGCTCTCAGCATTTTTCATTTGTTTATTACAGATACTGTGCTTGAATTTTAAAACATACTTGATTGCAGTATGTGACTGAATCAGTTTTTAAAGGGAGCGAGTATCTTCAAATGAATTTTAAATGTCCCTAGTAAATTCTTGCATTAGGGTACTATCTCCTGGTGTTGGCTTTAAATAACCTGAAGGGCTATCTTAACAATAATTCTGTTGACATTTTTCTTAAACAAATGCTGTGTGTGTATATATAAAAAAAAAAAAAGATGGCGCATCTCATCTGCCCTTGCTTTCTCGGATGTGCTGTAAACCATGGTAGTATGGAGATGGAGGGGAAGTTAACTAATGGACACTCATAATTTAGGCAGCAAAAACCAGAATTAATGTATTATCCCTCTGTAGCTTCGAGCACTCTGCCAACGCAAACTTTCTTTCTTAGAGAAATACGTGGTTGAGACAATTCCCATCTGTTTTTGACAAACACAGGGGAAGAGTCCCACAAATGACTCTGTTAAAAGCTCCCCTTAGAAACTATAAAATGGCCATTATTCTGGGGGTTTATTTCATCAAAACAATTTTCAGCGATAGGAATAAAGGGTAAAAGGAAGAAAGAGAAAAAGAAAGGAAGGAAGGAAGAGAGAAAGAAAGAAAGCCCATTGTATGAGACCAATGTTTTGTAGCCAGAGCAGCAGCTTTCAAGATATTATAAAATGATAAAAATAGAAATAGATGTCTAGGACGATGGTGCCATGGTGATCTTGATTCATCTAAATTACTTCTGCATAAAGTGGAGACTTTCATTTAAAAGAAATATTACCAGATGTGTGAAAAACTAAGGAAAATTAAGTAGGAAGAATTTTCTACACCATGTTCCCCCCCAAAAGATCAGCGCATCAAGGCCTCCAGAGAACGGAGCCTTCAGCCTTGCCTGGAAGACACCGCCTCTGGGCCTGCCTAGTGTCTGCTAGGCAGAGGGTGCAGGAGATCCTAAATGTTCTTCCAGAGAAAAACACACCTTCCAGGGCTCAGAGGTGTCCAGGTGCCTTCTCCGCAGGCAGGGCCCAGAGCGCACTGCTTTTTCACCCAATTCTCAGATCTGTTACCCCGACTGGATCCCTTGCATTTGTTTGCTGCAGCGCGGGCGGGACCTCCCTGTGTCTTTCCAAGTTCAAGGCTGGTATGCTAAGTGCCCAACTCTAGATAAGATCCACCTGCCTGCTCGCAGCCAGTGACTCCAAGCCGCTGCATCCAGCCAGGCCTGGGTGCTTGGGGTCTCCTGTGCTCCTGGCGCCCCGCGATCTGCTCCGCATGGCTGTGACCCTGGAGCACCAGCGCAGGACAGAAGCCTTCCTGCCTTCCCAGGTAAACTCCGCGGCGCCACCGGCCTGCATCATTGTACCTACTGAGCCGGCTGGGGCTTGAAGGCTCTAGGATCCAGGGCGCGGGCCGGAACTGCAGTCAGAAAGAGCTGATTGTCTGCACCACGCGTGGGCTCTGTGGCTAGCAGAATGAGCGCGAAGCAACAAGTCGGCCACAACCCAGCCGGCATAGCATCTCCCGGCCTCAGCTGGCCTAAAGAAGTAGTTTTGACAGCCGCTCCCCACAGGGTCACCCACAGACACCCATTAACCAAGAATGGAAAGTGTGACCATTTGTCCAAGAAGTGTTTGGGAGCTACTGGCCAGAGGGTTCCGAACTGATGCCCCTGGCAAAAGGCCTCGGGCGTGCCTGTGAGACAGGGGAGTTTTCTCATCTCCCGCCAATCCTTGCAGGATGGAGAAACTCACCCCATCCCCGTGCGGTGGCCTGAGGGATCTCCACG